CCTTAGGGGGTATTTTTCTCTCGGCGGGTGCCGCCGCTACTGCTGTCACTCATTTCTGACAGCAGGCATTCTGTAGCACGCGAATCCATCCATTCGATGTACCATGTCGACAATAGGTGGGGATACAAAGCCTCCATTCATAGGAAACTTTTAGAATCCAGCGCCAGAAAAAAATGCTTGCACTGAGAAAAGGCTTGAACGACTCACCATTTCATTTCGATAGAGCAAAAGTGTCGAGCACAGAGAGGTTCAATGTCAGAAATATTGTCATCTCGCCTTCCTACATGTACAACTTACGCGGGGCCTGATGGATCATGTGCTTTACACATACTGTTCTACACACGTCGGTCGTTATATGCGGATAAATGATTAGCAGTCATGTCCACATTAGTGTTCATACTGTTAATTTTAGCGCGAAAACAACGTACGTCTCGATATCACCACAGGAAGTTTTTCTGCATTGGCATGGTGAAACAATTGTAGTGTTTTTTCTTTTTTTTTTGGCGCGCAAAAACAAATCCTGGGCCCGAACCCCATGGTTGGGGATGGTTTCAATCCACCCGAATCCATCGCAATCTCCTCTCTCGCTACTACTACTGCTACTACTATTTCTACCCGTGCGCCTGCGAGCTATGCTTTGCTCACTGGTACACAAGCGGCAAGCGAAGCTGACGCGACTAAAGCCTCAACCGAATCAGCGAAGCAGCCGACGACAAAGCAACGCTCGCTCACAGCGCACACTTGCTCTGGATCAATCACTATCTTGTCGTATTCAGGCAGGCAAGCAGGCTGGCGGGCGGGCGGGGGGGCGTATCGGACTGAACCAGATATGCGTTATTGGACATAGACATATCTAGTCATCATACTTACGAGGATAGTAAAGCAATACCTTCATTTCTCTGTAGAAACTCGCATATAGATTGACGTTCAACCCCTATATATTGCTGATCATACGGATGCCTTTGTAGATCTGCGAGGGCTCCGCCGACCCGTACTGAGAAGCTCTACTGTTGCTGGGCGAGCGGATTGAAACAAGGTCTGGATTAACATCAGGTTGGTATCGAAAAGACATTAAGCAGGGTGCAAGCCCTGATCCAGAGCAGCAAACGATTTTCCTAAACCTGCTTTGCTCGTCCTTAGATGAATAATGCTCGCCGGCTAGACGCAGATGATAATGACTGAAGCAACCTCATCCGAACTGTGATGAAGAATGTTGGGAGCCCTGAAACCCCGCCACGACGCCCGATTACTATCATGGTATCGAACTAAAAGGCCAAATATCTTCTAAAGAAGCCTGATTCAGGCACAGAATACATATGGCTTCAGGGCAAGCTTCAGTGACCAGCGCTTACGGATAGCTGGCTATAACAGAACCATTTTAATCAAAACAATTCCCCTTACACTCCCCCAGTAAGATCTACGAAAATCATATTCAACTGCTCCCTGGATAGAAACTAGTCTACTTTGTGTGCGACCAGCTACGCTAATACCGCAGGCAGAAGATCAGTCGCTGTATGCCCTTTTGTTTAAGAAATCGAACCGGATTCCTCGGTAATAGTTTTAAGAAGTAAATCGCTTGAAACTATCGGGACATTCTTTGTACTTATGCGAAAGATTTTGTCATCTGAACGAGCTGATCCTTCGATGTTTTTGAAGTTCGTTAGTTGGACCAGGACCAGCACCAGCACAATGTCAGGGCATGTGCTGTTGGGTCCTGCTCTGTACAGCGATTGAAGGTTCAATCGGGGCAAAGCAGCAAACTTGTAAGTCCGATTGTAGTTCCCTTGCTTCTTTCCGTCGCGTCTTCTTCACTTACCTCTTTTTACACAAACGCAGTGTTTCTTGCTAAAAGAGCATCGTTTTTTTGGTTATTCGTCTCCGTCTCCGTCTTTTTTTGGTCTTCTAGAGAATAGTTCCATCGTCAGTCTACCATTCACTGACGCGTTTACCTAGTGTCCCCGCTATGCCCTGTCCGCTTAGCGGCTTGCCGCCTGCGATTGCTGGTGCTGTCTCTGCCCCATTAAACAGCTCGACATCTTCCCCCTCATTCTGACGACCCCTCTCATCTGGCGGCTGTTTCGGTTCCTCTCGAGGCCGGACGCGGGGCCCCCTCTAACGGCATAGCCCTACTGCGGTGGCTGGGATGCGCGCTGCAGCGCACCGCACTACTACTACTACCATCGCTCGCACCAACACCATCAGCATTCCCATCAACTCAACCTCCTCCGTCTTCCCTATCACTCGGGCCTTCTGTTGCTGCTTGCTTTCGTTACCCTGTTATTCTGTGTGTCGGGCCGTGCTCGCACAATGTTGCGCTGGCTTATGCTGGCGCCGGCGACATCGCGGACGCTGCCCTTTTGATGCAATAACAACAGCAGATGCACTAGCAAAAACGGGCGCAGCGGCCCCAGCAAAACATATAGGAGATATACTGCAGATTACCGTTGTATCAGTCATACACACACACACAGATGCATATGCACAGTATACAGAACATTAGCAGGAGCAACTTAACAAATTTAGGCATAAATATTTTGCACTGCTGGTAGATCGAGTTAAGGAAAAAGTACGCGAAAATCGGCCCAGGTACGAATAGAGAAAGCTAGACAGGGCAGCTGTCTGATTTGGAACAGCATGAGGATGCACACACGTATTTTCATGGCAGCACAACTGGTGACGCAACGCAAATAAACGACTCATGACAACAGCAGCAGCAGCATCAGCGTCAGCAAACGAGGCTGCAGTCCAGTGACAAGGGCGAGCTAAGAGAATCAGATTGGCCTGTTGATCTGTAAATGGATATGTCAGGTGGTCTGATGTTGTTAATGTTCCCTAGGGGGTGAAGGCAACAAACAAACAGACAAAGAAGAGGACAGGGAAGCAAGCAAACAACAGACGCAAAGTCATCGTATGGCACAGCCGACCGGTCAAGCCATGCGCACACGCCATGCAAATATGTACAGTTCAACATAAATGCCATCATTACCTAAATCAGTGAAAACCCAGTGGTTCAGGCAAAACGCACATGTCCCGGCCCCCGCCAGGCGAGCAGGATACTCCATCTACAAAGCAGATGATCCTTAAGAGGATTTGTAGCAGCGTGGTAAATCGTTCTAGGAATCCTTGAAGGATGTTCCTGGATGAGACGATGCACATAGTGCGGTTACACCCTTTTTCGCAACGTTTAGCATAGCATGTCGTGCGCCCTATTTGAAATAATAAACAGCAACGCCACCTGCTATTCCAATGAATGGAGCAAAATAAAAAAAAAAAGCCGGACAAACCTTTCGTGGTGTTAATTTCACTTCTCATATGGGAATAGCTGCGTTTAAATGGAATATTTCAAGTGATGTTCACTGCAGACATCGTTGAATTGTTTCTTGTTTATTTGCGATTCTGCACTCATCCAAGAGAAGTTGCCTCATAGAGGAGTAAATTTGAACGAGCGCGGCCGTAGTAGCATTTGTTCGTTATTGTTTGGTCGGATGAAATATGAATGAAAACCGGCTGACAGATAGCTGAAGTATAATATATGCTTTGAATTTTGCTGAACCCGCTCCCATCATATGCGACTCACAGCCCTTCACAAATAAGCAACAATAATAAATAGGGCTCAAGTAAGATGAATGAATTGCGTCGGCAGTGAGTAAACATTAGCGCACCCGTCGTCCTATATAGTCAGAATCAATGGAGCTGAGTATGTCAATGACATGGCTAACGCCATAGTGACAATTGTCTTCTCTGCAGACATTGTCTACAATGACAGAAAGAGTCTATGTCTTACGCGTATGTGACTATCAATTTTTGACCTGACCCTTTCCTTTGAGGCTTTCCAAATGCCTAATTCTTTCCGAGGCAGATCAAGCCATCGTTGAGTTACAACGACAAGAGTTGCTTTTGGAACTCAGATCTGCTCGAGGCCGGCTGTACATCTTCGACGCACCTGATTCGCTCATTCTTCGAGACCACGTACCGCACGCTAATGACCTTACTGGCCTATTTATTGCTGGTCGTAGCGACAGGGGACTGCTGATGCTATTAAAGGTTTCCATTAAAATAACCTTCGTATGGAGATCAACTCGATATTAGCATTTTGTTACTGCAAATTTGTCATACATCTCACCAGGCATTTTGATTCCTTCGCGCAAGGGGCTTCCGTACAGCTACGCCGTGTCCAAAGGCGGTCTCGTTGCTGGCACCAATGTAGAGATATAACGATAGTTCCGAATCGGCTTAGGCAGGGGACCCAGGCGACTTAATTAATGATACAATCAATGACACTAGAAACAGTTACCTACAATAGTTCTAATAAAATTTACCTTTGCTGGCAGGAATATCTATCAAGAAGAGGCCTCCTTATAGGGTTACGCACGCGTATATAGAAATTAGGTTGGAAAAAAGCTGTATATATTTAAGAGCCGCGCGTTAAGGTGTAAGAGAGCGTTAGGGTGTAAAAATGGGCCAAATCATTACGCACTAATCAAAAGGACATTTTTTATGAAAATAAAAATGATGGTTTTTGCTACGTATGATACCAAGTTTTAATATGTGCCAAAACACGAAATGTGTAAAGAAATAGAAAATAGTAAGGTCGGTATTTACCTCGACCGGAACCGTGACCCGAATTCAAGCTTGATGGAGCTACCGCGGCTTCCCTGACCTCGAAGCGGTTTGATCAGCTTTACGTTTATCTGCAAATTAGAAATTGCATACAGTTTTATAAATGTACGAATATAATTTGATTCAGTTTCGTCTAGAGAGTACAAACGTATCGCGTAGTTTATCATAGGTGATGCGGACTGATCGTCTCCTCCTGTCTTCTACTCTAGCGTTGTTTGTATCTATCTTGATTCGTCTCTCTTCGTTGTTCTCGCTTTAGCAAATATCGCGTTTGCTGCATTAGATAAAAGGTATTATCGTAATTGTACCAATGATAATCTACAGAAACAGTAATAATTATTAGAAGGCCAACGATAATAATACTAATTGTACTTTTTTAGGTTCTGACGCCTTTCGACTGACCATTCCGATTGTCCTGCCTCGTAACGGGATTCTAGTATGAGCGAGAGGTCGCCCTACTCAGACATATTGAGCGACAGGGGCATCGATCTGTGGCCGGAGGGCTGGCCGCTCCACCCATTGGACATCACACATCACCACAGTTATGGTGACGCCGTCCTACATACTCGTTCACTGCCTAGTTGTTCGAATACATTATATGTAATGCCTGCCGTATGCACACTGTAGAAAGGCTTCCGTAGACAGCAAATTAGCAAGCTCACAGTGACCTATTATTCGATACACTGCCTGAACAATTTCTTGCTTTTACGGAATTTTCTAGGTGGAGTGTGTGTATATATATATAAGCCATTTGTTTTCATGTTTGTTATCTATTATTGGAATGTGTTACGCGGGCTCCACTCAACATCGGACTGAAACGCGACAACATTTGGTTCAATCCGAATACCGTTAAGGACATCTTGCATACTTCAGCAGACCGACAACGGCAACGGCCACAGCGGCGACGATAGTCTTCACTATTTATTGTTGTATGTTCGTCGTCTCAAGTTCTTCATCGGGTTTTTCGCTTCTCTTCGTTTCTTAAGGCGCCCGCGTCACTGTCATCCACCTATCCATCGTCGTGGATTCGAATTTCGGCGATGGATACATCTACATCAAGGGCCTACGCCTGTGCCTGCCTCAGCTCCTCCTACGACGCGTACTTCGTCTTCCAATCCTCCGACCGCCCCACGCAGCAGGAGAGCTGTGACCGTGGCCCAGCTAAGCCTCGCTAGAGAACTCTTCACATTTCTCCACCGCAAATACTCAGCCTGTCTCTCGAAGACATACGGCCATTCTGTGCGGAGTATTAGACACATGAATTACTCACTGTCTCTATAAATCTCATCCATAACAGATATAGTTTTATTAACACGTATACTAAGAATAAATCTAACGACAGATTGAACGTGGATAGTGCGATGCTCTCTGCTGCATTTTGCCTCAAAGATCTGCACCAACTCTACGAAGTAGGGAAATGCTTATTCCATTAACTCGGGTTAGTTGAAGTTATTCGCGATTTTTTTTTACTTAATCGGTGCCAAGCACACCGCTGACATGGCAAGACATTGAAGCCTTATTCTGACAGTTTGAATTCGATTATCTACCAACTGATGGGTATATCTATCCGCTTGCGATAGCGCCGTCGGATCCATTTTATACTGGCCCCAATGTTTGACCATCGTTTCCTGAGTCCGCACACTGCGCAGAGTTCAGGATTTGGATCTGTTCGTTTCTTTGACCCTTTGAATCGCGCGCAGAACATCCTCTATGCGCCATCCAGCGAGCAAGCAGATCAGCAGCGACTGCAGCATCACACAGGCCGGCAGTACCCACAACACAACGGCCGTAGAAGGCTGGCATAACAGCACAGCGTCGTACACGGCTTCGCCACTCTGCACCCCTGGGGATGATGGCTGTCACAGCGGTGCGGCAGTAACCGCAGCTAGACCGACAAACAGACAGACAGACAGACAGAGAGATATAGGCTCACGATGTAGTCGAGCGTGCCTAGGCTTGCCTGTACGGCTGTGTCTGACTGAATATCTGTGCGTGTGTGTGTTTGTGTGTGTGTGTTTGTGTGTGTGTGTGTGTGTGTGTGTGTTTGTGTGTGTGTGTGTGTATGAGTGTGGAAGAGGCTGTGTAAGCATCATTGATTCCACCGGCATAGAGAAACTACGTAGCAACTGGCACTTCACAGGACACCTCCTCCCCCCAAACCGTCAGCGGTCCCCCGCCGTAGTTCGTCTTCGCCGACGAACTTGGTTGGTTGGTTAGTTCGTCTTTGAGCGTCTCGTGCCAATGTCAGGCCCCGCCTCCTCCTGCTCGCCAATACTACAGTAACCAGAGCCTCCCTGAAGCCGCTTTCCTTTCGCCGCTGCTACTCACGGAGTAGCTCGGTTGGGTGGGGAGGTTTCTGCTGCCATAGCCTGACTATGACTCTCTCTCTCTCTCTCTCTGTTACTCTTTCCTGTGCACACTCTTCTCGTACTGTTCTATTTTCACTCTCGCTCTTTATCCTCGCTCCGTCTCCAGGATATCAGATTGGATACTAGCTGGGCAACCACTCCGGCTAGATCCATGCTGTCGCCTCTGTCCCTGGATAGATACTAGCGGTTTGGTCGTTACGGACGGTACATATTGCAGGTTAGCCCCACTCCGTACCGCGATATCTGACGAGCACCAACTCTGTATCTCTGAAGCACTTTGTAGAATCGTGCATCCCGAAGCGCTTGCATCAGTGTACTCGGAGTCGCCAAATTTGACACGTCATTCCAACACCAGTTTTCGACTAACGAGTTATCACCCTCATCTAAAGTGTCGAGGTACATGATGCTCACAAGAGCTACGCAAAAGGCACGTGCCAATTTAACAAACAGAACACTTGAAATGAGATACGGAATTTCTTAAATACTTTTAACATTTCTAAAAATAACTTTAGCAAATAGTCGTTTAGCGGAGTGATTATTTGTTTTTTTTTTCGCAACAAATAGAAGGCACAGCTATTTTCTAACGCCTACTTTATACATATATATTTAATAAGCTCTGTCCTTAAGCCGGCGATTTCATTCCGACAATCATTGTATGCAAATGATGTCGAGGGTCCCTTTCTTTCGTTTTCAGATCTCTTCTTATCATTGTCTTAGTTTGCTTTGCCAGCTCTGAGGATTGTGGTGTCTCATATAACAGCGTTATCAAGTTCAGCTCAACTGCAGTAGCGGTAAAATATTTCGATATATGTATGTTGTCCTAAGATGCAATTTGTCTTCTGTTGGCTTTGCCGATAATAAACATGGTTTTCCATTTGTTCGTTTCAGGCCTGGCATGCAATGATTATACGAAGATGCACTAACAGGACCATCATCATCATCTTCGTCATAGCACAAACGCTTCTAACCAATGAGGCTGATATATATCTTCTCCGTTGATAGTATATAAATAGCGACAAAAGCAGCGAGAAGCACACGGATTTATTTGCCCACTAGACACTCGTCGCACTCCGTCCGTCCGCCAGTTTAGTGTATTGTCCTCCGCTCGTCTTTATCTCTGCGATGTGACGGAGCAGCCATATCGTCCCATAAAACGTCTATGTCCAACACGGCGCTCTATCTGCCGGCCCGTATTCAACAGCGTCGAAGTGGAACCGGCCTCGTTGGTTTCATTTTAGTGTATCTCTAGCATCCTTTCAGATACGGCGACCTATCTCAGCTCGTTCGTTTCCCACTGACTTCAGCACAAAACTCCCCACCATAGAGCTGGCTTTTGCCTCTGCTCCTTCTATTTTTTCAGCTTCTACTTCGCCTCGGCCTTCTTTTTCTTCGGCAAAATTTCTTTCCCTTGCTGAATTGACTCGAACCACGAGCCGTTCTACTCCCGACACTCGGCCGTTCGCACAATAGCTTCGGACGGCGCACAGCCGCAGCGTGAATCTCTTTCTTCCACTCTGCACCGATGATGCTTCTACGATGAGCTGCTGCTGCCGCCTGACCTTTCCCGGTAAGCTGCTGTCAGGTTCCAGCGGCCGATTGATGGACAAGCGAAAGGGAGGGGGTAGCGGAGGACTAGCTCTTCTCCGGGATGTCTAGAGCTAAAAGCTGCTGGTACAAAAGAAGAGGTACCCCCTCAAGAGTATCATCAGCAAGCTTAGCAGTTCGTCACCATGAAACAAACTTCTCAAGTCCAGATAGCGCACCAGGATGAGGCCTGTACAGAGAAGAGAATAAGATAGTGTGCTGTCGCCTGACGATCGGAGACGAACAGGAAAAGGCGACACACAAGGTAGATTTCGCTGTAGACGAACAGCATTTTGAAGTGGAAGATCAAGGGGAAAGGGGAAGACAAATACATTAAAGAAGACGAGGAAAAAGAAAGCGGCACCGGCAACACATGAGATGGCGCGTTCGCTTTCAGAGTCTAGCCTCTAAATACAGCCGTGAGCTATGTCCAAGTGCTACCTGCGTAGGAGCACGGTCCCTCCATTAGCACCCCTCTCCTCCACCTCTCAAGGATGACAGACTGCACCCGATCGCAACGACAGCGCAGATTGCTCTACGGCTTTCTGCAAGAGCCATCACTTCATTGCGGCGAAGAAAATACCAATCAAAGGACATAAGGTAATGCTTTTTGCGACCAACTCACTTCGCTGCAGGATCAGTTCTTCTGTCTCGTCGTAACTGCTTCGACGATCACCGGCTCTCGCATTCTGCTAAGTGTTAAAATCATTTTGAAAATTGACGACGACCACTTAACGTGTGGTGGGCCGGATGAAACTCTGCGAGTTCATGTTGACGATAATGATAAATACTACGAGAAAATGACCACAGTAAAGCGTCGGACAGCTGATGAACATAGCGCGTTAAAAGCATTCGCAAATAGAGCCCATCAACCTATGCGAAAACGGACTGCTTCTTCAGAAAGAGAACAGTGTTATTATCATTATAAACAAACGAAATAACTAACGATTAACTTCGATCATCGCGGCTTTCTTACACCACAACGTTGGTCACTGAATCCTTTATACCCTAGAGCTAGTGACTCCTATCTCAAAAAACACAGTGTAATGTGGTTTAAATTGAATACACACAATGTCTCCCTTCTGAAGCTTTTGGATAAACAAAGATGCTGTTGATCATTTCCCTATACATGATCTACGAATAAGTGCAAACAGACCGGATTTCGTAGCTTTCGAAATTCTTCGGTGTACATGTTACAATATTGCTAGCTGTGCGCCAGAAGTTCAGAAATCAACGACGTTCTAGACTGAAGGACATATATGAAAAGCTTTTGTATAATGGGAAAAAATCGAATATTTTTGTACGAACAGGACAGACGAAGCAAAGTAGATCAGACAGTTTGAACGAACGGGATATAAACTGCGGTAATAAGATCAGTGACCACCCCATTGTCACCAGTTGTTTGCGATTTCCATGCGCAATCTTCCACTACAGCAATGATGCCTTCAGTACTGCTGTATATTGCACTAGGAGTCGTCATGGTCAATGATTTGCCTGCTTTTAAACTGACTTTTAGACGAAGCTCGTGCATGAAGCAATTCTTGATGTTTTTCTTTGCTATTGTATCTAGACAGAAATCTGTCGAGTACTGGTGCGTTTGTGAAAGCTTCACGGACCGCCTTACGTTTTTTGCCGTTAGCTGATGTTTTATATTGACTCCTCGGCGCAAAGCATCGTTATTGGCACCAAAAGGCCGGTGCAACAAAGCAAAAACACTGGCGTCGAATTGCAACCATTGATAACATCAACGTAAACATTATGTAATAATAGGTCAAAGTAAATGCCACAGGATAAAAACCCGATCCCTTTACTCGACGCACTCGACGATGTGGTAATGTTTCCAAGGCTCGTATCAGATTGGACGATGTTAAACAGCTTTAAAAATTTATTACATAAGACAATATGCAACAATGTTCCTTTACTCAATAAGATCTATTATGGCGGGATTTGAACCGGCGACCTCTGTCCCGAGAGATCAAGCTGCTCAAGCGGCTGCACAGACATATACACAATAATAACACAAGCGGTAGTATATATACTAAGCAACGATATTGCAGACAAGGGAAATGGCGGTGTAAGCTATTTTACTACATTTAGAGGACGTTATTATCTGCTATATAATTCTTATGGGTATAGACGAGCTAAAGTTTTGACGCAAGCGTTTGTTGTATTATAGAACATAAACATGAAACAAACATTGAGACTGTCCTGTCTTGACGTATTGCTGCAGTGGCCTATAAAAGCTTTGTTTTAGTACTATTCAGTACGAAAACTAATCAGAAAGAGGGAGAGAAAGAGAGACTAATTTATTTATTACATATATATATATATATATATATATTCCGTGTGATACAGGTGAATACAGTCGAAAAAATGTTTATTATTTAAATTCCCAGTTTCATGCGCCACTTCACTGACTGGTGAAGACCTCATTGACTAAAGAAATCAACAAACTCTTACGCTTGATAGAAAAGCAAAATCGCCGGACCCTCATCGATAACACAATTAGGACTCGCGGCGGCAAGAAACAGGGAGGGCGTATCAGCGATCAATGAGTGGACAATGTTTGTAGAAAACACACGACATAATGGAGGATCCAGTCCGCAGATCGAACTGCCCCCAGCCCCGCGGTCGAAGCAGCATAGACGCCAGGAAGACCATCGAGGTTACTTCTACCGATATTAACTAATGGCACCCTGACGAACGATGATACGAATCATCCGTTGACCCCACTCCGACGCTCTCCTTTCGCGGCTAACGCGAACAGACAGGGTTCTATGTTGTTACTGATAGTTCCTGCTGTTAAACTGTACGATAAAATCGACTTTAGCAAGTCAAACTATTGCAATAAATAGTGTACTGGGTCTGAATAAGTTTCCAAGAGTAATAGCCGTAGTTCTAGCAGTAGTTATACACAGCATCCTGCAAAAAAGAACCCAATTTGTTTCCACGGTTGTTAGAGAAATCTGATTAACACAGTAATCCATTAGCGTTACTCTCTCGTCGTGTTAGTCTTGTCGATCCGACCCAATCCGATAAACATCGAAAAAGCAGCGAAAGGTAGCGCCAGCGACAGTAATAAACACGCCGTTATTGGATCGTCCTGTCTTATATCAATGTGTTTTGGGTATGTAAAATGGTTCTTGCCCACTCTCTAGTCCCTCGTTCTAACCCCCTTCCGCCCGCAGTCAACGCTATCCAGTCGGCCTGCTATTTTCGTCCTAGCAGCAGAAGTGTTTGTCTCCTTTCGCCAGACAGAATCGCAGTACGACGAAACAAAAGCAAGTCAACAAGTTAACCGCGATGGGTCGTCTATCCTGCTCGCTCGCTCGCTCGCTGGTTCCCCAACCGTCGGTTACTTCTATACGCCTGCTAATACTATCATATGCATAAATATGTATAGTAAGCTAGTCTTCTGCCATTATTATCGCAACGACGACGCTGCCGGTTACTGCCATCTGAGCCATCGCCACACAGTTAGCGGCTGACAATCGGCTAACTACCTCGTCCATCTAGACGGCGGCGAACGGCTGGCTTCTGCTCGAGATGGCAGCAGTAGTTGTAGCGACAGAGTCGGTGCAGTGGCCGATACCGGCGATGCTGGGTCTAGTGCTTGTAACTCTACTGCTGATAGTCAGCAGGCGAAACAGTGGCGGCAAAGCCGAACGACGAAACAACAAAGCAAACGTAGCACACAAGCGCCAGTAGCAGCAATACGAACAGCTGTAGACCACAGAGCACTCGTGCGTGTATGTTTTGAGTGTCGCGTCGCTACGGCCGCTACCGGCTCCTGCACTAGTGCTATCTTCCGTGGGCCGCGCAGGCTGTGCGCGGTCAACCGCGACCATAGCCACCATCTTCTCGCCTCTCCTTGTCGCCTGCAGCGCGTGATATCGATAGGCCCTTATCGCTGTTGTTGTCCCGACGCTGTCGACAACGACACTGCCGCCACCTCGACTGCAGCAACGACGGCAGGCAGAGCGCACGGCCACTTTCCATTGATGTCGATTATGATGATGATACTGGTGTCCCCCTATTGGCACTGAGATCAGCAGCGGCGGCAGCCATGACGATAACAATAGAAAAAGCGCTATTGTCAAACATTACCGATACAGCGAATCACAAATGCGCGAAGGTGAGAGAATGAATATCCAGAAGTTGGTACGCAGTAATTCTGAATAGTAGGGACAAGGATTAACTGTGTATAAAGCACGCCAACATCATCATTATCACTGTCGTTTTCACAGACGTCGCGGTGTAACGTCGACGTAACGTGAAATGACTGCACGCGTTAGCTGCCTCAGTTCCTCGACAGATGCTCGACATTCATTCGTGGAAATTATGGATTTCTCACGATAATTCGAAGTTAGGCAGTCGGGCATTATCTCGTGTACTATAGTTACCCGGACGAGGCAGCAGAGCAGGTCCTACACAAGGAATGATGCATAATAATAAAGCTACAGGGGTATGACTGATTAAGATGGGTAGTGTATGTTCATTATCTTATCCGGTACAATTATCCAACAGCTTGATCTAAAAGATCGTGGATCCTTCATATAAATCAGTATAGTACGCACGCACGCACGCACTCAGTAAACATGTCTTCATATACAGTTTTTGTAGTGGCAGCGGCACGCTTCATATTTGACGGCAGCCCAAGATAGACAGATGGGCGAATTATAACCTGGGCGGTCGACCGGTAATCGCATAAAACGAGAGGAACGAAGACGCTATTGTGTCGCGCCAGTCTTTTCCGTGGTTGCGTTTTCCTCAAGCAATTCAAATAGTCACACACTAACACACGCGCAAGCATAGAAATATCAATGAGAGCCTGGGCATCTGGTCGTTGTCGGTATTCGCTCATTGGCCAATCTTCCGTCCCGGCAACTACTGCGTCGTCCTATTGCTGTTACTACGACACTAGTTAGAAAGAAACAGACGATGCTACTCTAACTAATGGAACCTTCTTGCCCTGCTATTGCTACTTGTGGCATATAGAATAGATATATGATACATGTAGGAAGGGCAAGGGGGCGACGGAGACGACAAGGAAATGAACGCATCTTCCCACTCGGACGTTTCGGTCATCTCCTCCTAATTTATCGAAAGAGATTGATACCTTGAGAATATCAGGCCACATAGCGTTGGCTGCCGCCCTGTAATAGGGCCAACACGGGGACTGCCATCATCGACACTTTCCATCCATTCGTTCATTTTATCTTAATGCAGAAGCGAGTGATGATCCTCTATGATATCGACCTGTTCGGCTTCCAGAAAGAAACGCAAAGCATCAGAAACGCCAAGATGCTAACAAGCGAGCGATCCAATGTGTGTATGGGTCACATCAGTTCCTGTTGAACGGTGTCGCTACAACCTGTCGCCAGTGACAACGGTATTAGCCAGTTGAGAGGTTATAAATGGCGCGAAAGCCCCTGAAGTAGTCGCCTCAAACATGACGCGATCGTTACGCTTCTTTCTAGCTAGATTTTTGCTAACGTTACCTTCGCAAAGATCGTGGCTCGCTCTAGGTCTATATATCCAGCACACACGAGTAAAAAAAACAGCCAAAATAACTTTACGAGGCAATTACCTGTACTGAATGCTACGACTGGACGTGTTTAAATACATAGTAGTGTGAATTTAATCCTGTTATATCGTAATAACAATAGGTGAATTAGTGAATAGACTCGGTAGTCTGGTAACAATTGCTGCTGTTTACCTCACGGACAATAACTAAGCCCTTGTGAAGGCCGTGTTGCCTATAGCGATAATGGCACCCCCCGTTAACTGCAATGTATAATAGTAGTACGTGATAGTTTTGCCCTAATTTCGCGAGTGAGGTGTCCCGTTATCTGGCGCTCGCCTTGAAAAAGGCGTTTTTCTTCGATGAGAAGGTTAAGTATTCCTGTTTCCAAGACAGAACGTTCGTCAAACATGATCTCTTTGACAGCCAAAATTGCGCTGCTTTCAAACTTGCAGAAGGTCGAACCGGCCGAAGGAGATAAATAGCAACGTCGTAGAGCGTGGCGTCAGTCTTGTAGCTGCCGATACGCGCTCCATTCTTAACCCAACAACGGTGCCGAGTGCTGTGCTGCATTAGTATTTGCTGTGACCGCAACGAGCTGACGATTACAGTTACCGAAAAAAAGCTAAAACGACAGCTCCAGCAGCAGCGAAGGAGGCAGCGCGCTCTAGCACCAACAACATCCGCTCTTCCGTCGCCGTTACCGCTGCTCGTGCTGCTATTGCAGCAGCGGCCGTCGCCATCGGCAGTGGCTACGAGGGTTTCAACTGTTGCGGCACCGCCAGCGGTTTCGTTATACAGTGGCAGGAGTTGGGTCGTCGACAGCTGCCGCTGGCAATGAGGGTCACTCTACGCTGCGTTATCCGAAGGATGACCGAGCGGCCCAAGACGATGTCGACGAGAACCGGCCACGGCTATCATCAGACAGATCGAGCAATGAGACAGCGACGACCATCAGCCAGAAGACGAGGTTCCTTCCCGGCCCAAGAAAAAGAAGAAAAATCTTCCATAGCAGAAAGCGAACCGCACAAACCGAAACGGCAGCGAGACGCAGTCCAGCAGAAGAGGCGGTCGGTCGACCAACACAACATCAACATCTCAAGCAGGTCTGTGCCATAGCTCGTTTGGCCCGCCAATCTGCTGTTCTGCAGTGGGGTTCAATTGTATATGGCCGACAGGAACTGAGATGAACAATGGAAGGCAACACGCCGGAGATGCGTTAGACGGGGGGAGAGGTGAAGGGACACGTAGCTACTATGCAATAACACACTGACATAACAGATCACAGCTTTCAGTTTCACTCTCGGTAATCGCAGCGGTACTGCCCGTCCGTCGCCTCCGTCATCGTCGCAGAGGTGATGAAGATTCGACGAACGTGAGACTACGGATGCAGACTGTAAATGACCGGCCAAATCGTCGGACTTTCAAAGCAGATCATCATAATCAACATCGCCGCCGCTACCGACCTTAGATGACCGTTGTCATTATTATCATCACCATCAGCAGCACAAACGTGGACAATAGCATTGACGTCGTCATTGTGATGCGATTCAACTGTTAAACTGTATAGAAGTATAATAGTGTCGATAAAAAGTGTTCATCACAAAAATGGTCACATTTTTTCCAGCGGCCTCTAGGACCATCTTTTTTTGTCTTTTCTTTTGTGTTCGATAATTGAAAACACTAACGTGGACGCCTTGGTTCGTTGTACATGATTCATTAATATCATCACGCAAGGGTACCGAATGCGCCACTGATTGAAAGATTGAGCAAATTCTGATGTGCTTTTGCGATTGCTGTTAATTCCTGCAAAAGACTTGAGTACATAAAAGTTGAATGCCACACGCCTTTCATCACCTTATTCACACTCACAATACTCCAGACCAACTGACGCTTTGTGCTGATATTATGGTCTATTCCCTACATGCTCAAAAGGCTTGCTGGCTGTAACAAACATGTGCAAAGACGCCGGTACATTTTAGTGTACACATAAATGATGTGTATATATATTCGCCTTCAGCTGGGTCTACCAAATCCGTAACACGGTGCCAGTGAACGATATCAACTTATCAGCGTGTTGGAGTCTTTTGGCACCACTTACTGCGCATCAATCAAATAGGCCGACAAGCAGACAATGTTAAAGACAGGCCAAGGCAGTGTCCCAAAGGGTCGCCTATTCGGATGGCTAAAAACACGGTCGATGGGAACTTTGCCTTTGTAGATAAATAGCAAGACGGTACATGTCGATAACATAGCAGAAATGCTAAATTAAATTTCGAGATAGGAACCGTAGTTAATACGAGACACTCCAAATAATATATATTTTCAGTATAAATGCAGCTGTGCAACGGACAAATTCAAGTTCTACATAAGACTCTAACGCGCATCACATGTGTTATCAACAGATGTTTCCTTATTAGAATTATTGCTTTAACGCTGAACAACAAACAACAGTCCTCATAACTAAACAACAAGGATGTCGTTAGAGTGCACAGATAATTAGGATCAAGGTTATAAGGTTACTCTTAGCTCTGAATTTGCTTCTTAGATTTTGTGCCAACTAATTAGAAGGCACTGCTCCTGAAAAATTATTATAAGTTATTCGTTTGTGGACCCATGCAATATGTTGTGTGAAATACTGGCCATTTAATTGCGTCTACCTATAACGCGGATCCAGCACCTACTTAACTTCCGGCTGTCTCGATTGCAATATCTCATAAGAAATGACTAGCATATTAAATAACCGACTAACTTAAGATAACACCAAAAAACAACGTCGCGTCAGCTGCCCTCTATGGGACCACACCGG